ATATAAGGGTGTGTAAACTACTACAGTTACTAATATCTACGTTGTATCATCCAAACTACCTTTGCCAGGAATGCCCATGCTTCAGTTTCTTCCTTTTAACGTCTGCAGGACCCCACAGTATTAACGCTCGATATATGAATGCTCTCATTCACACTTCTATCCAGTTGATTTTATGAAAGAAAGTTAATGCACGTTTGTCTAAGGATGTGTCTTCCTGCCTAAAATATGTCAGCTCCTAGTCTTAAAACAACATTGATTTAACATATCGGCACTCACGTTGTTTGCTGCTGAAAACCACAACCACGTACAAGACGAATATCGAAATTACGGCATGGTCAACCAATGAACTCACTGCTAAGCTGTGGATTTGCCTCTGCTTCCCTCTTTTATCTGGCACATGGCTACCTAGGAAGCCTGAAAGTATTAGTTTACTACCTTCTACGAGTTTTTTTAATGCTTTTTTTTATTTACATTGCTAGGTTAACAGGTCTTCTTTAAATGATTCTTATCATATCAAGGTAAGGAACTGCTTAAACAATAACACATGTTAAGTAACGTATCCACAAGTTTGCCGTGCAACCCCTCCATTTAAAAGTAACATTTTGATGAGTTTATAGACTGCACTTGAGATGCGCCTTTTGAAGTCGTCTAGCCATGCCTTCAAATCCAGTAACTTACATTAATATTAACAATGTTCAGCTGAGATAGCATAGTTCGGGTATCTATATATAATGATTATAGTAGTGCGTGTAGCAATGCTTTTTGACGGTTTGACTGAAGGAACAGACTTTTCTTCAGTAAAATAATTATAGTTAAATTTACGAAAGTGTGGAGTTAGTCAGAACAGTGAATCACAACCCAAATAAATTATCTATGGGTTCGGCTCGTAGCTAAGAATCACTGATATCTTTAAATTATTTGGGCTTGAATAATTCGTTAGGAGTTATAAGAATATTTGGGTTTTTCATATCAGCTTTTCGAGCAAATAGCTGCTCGGAATGCTGGTATACATCTAACCACAGAAAATAGCGGAACGTTTCGCATCTATAGTCTATTAAATAGCCATCATCACAGGAAAATGTATCTGTGGAAAATATTCACGTAGTAGATATTTATATCGTAGCAATAATAGTTATTATTATGATAAGGTACGGTATTATGATAAGGAAACTGAGCATTGCAGCTCAAAGTGGTGGCATCTGTTAATAATAAAACGAGTTATTCTGAGCAGACGAAAAGTCTCAAAAGCAGAATGATTATGATAGTTTGAAAGGTACAGAAAGAAAAGATCAGGTTTGACAAAACTTAAACAAACCTGGACTAGGAACTATTGGATTTCTTGGTTCAGGCTATTTATCCGCCACAATGCAACATACGAGCGAAATGGTAAACGAATGTCGATGTGGCAAAAGATATTTTATACAACGCAAGTAAAAGAACAAATTTCATTCCAACGTGAATTTCTGCTCAGAATAGAAAGATTTACATAACTAGCCCTTAACCTTTACAATCTCTAAATTGTTTGTTGCATTTGCAGGGTTTTAAAAGCTTACGAAATTTTAGCGAAAAATCGGAGAAAAATTAAAACGTTTCTTCTGATGCGATAGCGCGGATTTCAACTAGCGCTTAGTACTTCGATACTTGAGCCTATTATTTTTTTGAAAAATTTATGTTCTATTATTAGCTATGCCGACATTTGTTTATTTTTAATGTTTAGAAACATTTCCAACGTAAAAATCCAGATAGCTGTCTTTGTTTGTTCGTTAGCAACTAAGCACCACGGTCGCGCGTTAAATATTTCCTTGGTCGATCCTCGGATGCCGCACAGCTTCTAGATCTTGAGACTTGCGGTATTTCTACAGGAGCACACTGGGGCTCTTGTTCGTCATTGACCCCCCCCCCCCCAGCTCGTTAAGTGGGATATTAGAGTTACAGTTATGAAACCCATGGGTTAATTTGAAATTAGGAACTTTTAAGTAGCCTGATTATCTTAATCCGAGCGCATAACTGGATCATGTTTGATCATTGTAAATGCCATTGAAGTGCTTTCCCATAATACAGAACGCTGAATAAAAACAAGCGAGCAGCATAACGGATGAAAGAGCACGGAGTTCTCAAAAAAGTAGACTTCGATTCAAATTATGTGCTGCTTTAACTGTAAGATTTGTTTTGATGCAATGCTCATACTTCGATCAGGACAATACACATTTTCGGCCAGGAGATTTCACTTCATGCAAAAAAACCTGGCTGTCTACATGTTTGTCAACGTCGTCCTTCGTGTGTTAATTTGTCGAAGGGACCCGTTGAACACATAGACAACGACAACGCTTTCTGAATCGCAATGGGTCTCTGTTCATTGTACTATCTGACAGTGAGAGATAGCGTTGCATGGCGTCTCTTATAGTTTTCTGGTAACGGCATGCATAGATCATATACTACCACAACGACGATTGCTGGAGCGCAAATATAGGCTCATACTACGAATGTTAAAAGACATAGGATTTGATCTAAGCGGTCGGTGGTCATAGATCAGACAGCTTCATGTTAACATCATCCTAACCTATCGCCGCCTCTTGTGAGCTTTATGTGAGAATGTATCAGAACCTTTCAGGTTCTGATACATTCTCATATAAAGCCAAACAAGCTTCCAAAACCTAATAATAATTAGTCTCGGTATAGCTCGGTATAACAACGGTATAGCTGGCTATTCGCCTCATAGATTAAAGCTATTGTATTTACCGTTCAGTATCAATAAGTTATACATAGAACGTATTTGAAAACTATGAGCGTAATAGTGTTGACTATACTATGATTATTATTTCAAGTTAATTTCTATAAACGGTATATTATTTCAGAACATTAGTAGTCGTCACTAAAAGTGATTAAGTTGAGTTTTAGCGCTTCACTGAGCTCGATGTGAGCGCCATCTATCAGAAGCTTCATCACAGAGATCAAAATTCATCGAACTATTTCTTTTGGTCCCTGGCGGAAAGTAAGAAGGTTAGTGGATTTACTGCACTGGTTTTAAATGTTTATTGTGATGTTAATGAATCTGCTTATCTGAGAACGATCACATTTGTTATTACATTAGAGAGGTTAGTTAAAACCGATTTTTAATTTTCTGAGTTAATTTTACGGTAATAGAAATGAGACTTTTTTTTTAGTACTACAAGACCTTGGCTATTAAACACAGATTCAAACGAGTGGAATAAAACTACCTTACGAAGTTAAAATCGTATAATAATAACTAGAATTTAAAAAAATTTAAAAAAACGATTGTAGACGTATAGATAGACATTTACACTTACGTTGTTAGGCTTAAAATGTTTAATAAAGATGGGTAGAATACCATACTACAAAATGAAATTTGACATTTTTAGATTTAGATTTAAAATTTAGAATAAATTTTAGCTAAAGTGTTTTTAAAAGATTATATAGTTTAGTAACATATGCTTTGCCGAAAACGTATGATTTTAACCTTGCGTATGTAACTATTATACATAGTGAGGATCCAGATGCGTCGCGTACGCGGAATCCACTACTTTAATGTTTCCGGATTTGGTTAGACGAAGTAATGAACACAAATTATGATAACCGAATAAAATTTTTTCATGATATTAATGAACAACTGCATATATATATATCAATGTATAATATTATTTCCGTGATTTGCTGACTTTCAGAAGGCGGTTCTCACCATGCGTCCAACATTTTTAAAAAGAATAACTGTACGTCTGCATTTCTCATTTGTTCATGTCGCAGTTATAATTGTGGATTTAGATCTCGGTTTCGGAATACACGTGACAGAAAGTACGCACATGTAAATGGATTGACACATCCCACGGGGCTCTCAGAGGCAGGATAATTTAAACTACATTAAGCAATTATTTACAGCTTAAACGTACATAGTTTTAGGATTCAAACATAGAGGTCGCCCAAGATAGCGTCAGTTTGACGAATAATTAGAATACTGTGATAGAATTATAATGAACTCAATACATTTTCATGCATATATAACCCATAAAGAACCCATTCAACATTGTCTTATTTGAACTTCGGCAAATGTCTCTGAGGTTTGTGAAAACGCCGGATTCGTGCAAAAAATTGCTGCTGCTACTGCTGCTGCTGCTGTCGTTGTTGTTGTTGTTGTTGTTGTCAGCTCGATCGGCTGGTAAAAAGCTACATGTTGTAACAATAACCTCTATTAGGACCTGAGTATTTGTAAGCGCATTTCAATCAATGAACTGCTCGCCTTGACAAGCCCACGAGGTATCACATCAGTTGACTTTTCATCACCGTCGTATAGATCGATTTTTATATAGACAAAGAAGTCATCTTAAAAAATAATTTTATTCTATAATGCTTCTGGTACCTCTTGAAGATAATAGTCTAAAGTTTGCAACATGATCTTTGTTTCCATACAAAAAATTGATAGATCGTATATAACGGTAGTTGGTGTCGCCGTTAGTTATATAATACCTAACGAGTTATTGTGTTTTTAAGCATGGAATATTCCTACATTCAAGTCATTTGTGTGTGTGTGTGTGTGTGTGTATAGCAGTATAATTATGACAACACTGAACAAAGCTATGGATGAAACGAATTGTATCGTTAAGTCGCTATGTCAATTTTTGACTCGTATAATATGCAGACAAGTAATTTTGTTCGCAGATCATAAATGTTGCCAGTGTTTGTCCATTCTTCAGTATCTTTTTGTTAATCATTTTAAGTGGTTGCTTCGCCTCCTTCATCAAGATGTCCTTATTTCTTTACGTATGTGTTTTCTTTGCAACCGTTGTAACTGTTCTATAAATACCTATTAAGATTTCCACAAAAAATACTAATGACAAACTGTTATATTCGATGTGTATACGACAAATCGGAGCTACCTATCCGATATTTTGTCCAAACCGCGCAGATATGATTTTCAGGAATTATGTTCCTAAATTTACAAACATCTTTCTGACAGAGATCATGAGCGATGCGATATTGGCATGCCAGACTTGTAAGAAGAGCGCTCAAAATCCACTTACAAAATTGATTTAAAAGTGTATTGTCAAGCCTTTAAACTTGCAAATTAACAATTTCGTATATGGCAGTTTTTCTAGCGATAAGACATTAAACATAAATATTGAGACACGAATCCGGTAGCTTGCCCGTAGCATTTTTGGTCGCTAAAATCATATACTTTAGCAGTGCCATCTAACAACTGTCAATAGCTTCTTGCACAATTATATAATGGTACTTTCTGTTAAAAATATATTTAAACTTATTTTATAGATTATAAATTTTTATATTTCAAGGGAGTGAAGAAGTACGCTCATTAGTCTTGGCTGCGAATACTAGAGTTTGATTAGCCCGAATTTTCCATGTGTTTGTTTTACAGAAATTAGAATATTTTCGCCGTTCGACCTATTCTAAAATATGGCTCTCATTCAAGTGTGGACGTATACCTAGAGGTAAAGCAGTTTCGCCCACCAAGGCACTGACAATTCTAAGCGACCTTCGGAGGCTTACCAAAGATATTGAGTCAAACAACTTCCGAAAGGTACTTCAAAACTTTATTATTACAAACATGGTGTTCATGTTGTTTTTAATCGCGGATATTTGCCTGTTAATAACTCATTATACAATTCTGTGCCACCATACAACAACTTTAATTGGTGAAGGAAGTCTATTTTTTGATTGTTCTAGGATCGCACCCTCGCTGTGCTGATGTGACTCGGTACCAACAGCCTTATTATCTGAAATACAACAACATAGATAATATTTTTCAGCATAATTTAGATAAGCTAGTAATGCTGCTTATCGCTGGGCTAAATGAGCAGAATATGAGAGAAGATGGTTACATGAAAAAACATGGCTATTGACAAACAACGAATTTTGACAGATTAGAAACAAGTCGTGCTTCTAAAAATGGTATCTTTTTATGGGCAAAGTTATTTTATCTGTTTATATTTATATTTACTATGGTTTAGGTGTGAGGGTTGAGCTTTTAGGGTAGAGCTTGAGGTAGATGGCACGTAGACAGGATTTGGAACGTGCATTTCATTAAGCTTATTTTACGAATTTTAGAGTCTTTTATTACAATGCGAATGTACTACTAATGTATAATAAATACAATAATAATAATAATAATAAAGTGGCAAGTTTTAAAGCGGTCTTTGATAGACTTAGAAGAAATTTAACGTTATTTTAGCGCAATTCGATCTAGTACTCCTATACTAAAAAAAACGAGCTATTTCAAGGGATTTGAAAATTCATTATTTTCACATTTGTTGCGACGACATAACTCCATAATACACCTTTCAGAAAGCACTATTTGATTTGGCTTCATCAAAGCCAATCGAGTGTTGTTGGACACCTTTCAAAGGATGCATGACCATCCCAGGTGATGGCACTTCGGGGGCTTCAAAACGTGAAAAGAGTACGCTCTATAGATCGGAGGAGATTTCGAGACCAATGTGGGCTAACGCTTCTAAAAGTATAGTGAATTCTGCTGCAACTCGATTGTTTACCTCAGAAAAACAAATGATCTGTTATGGGGGCAACGTATATAAGCCAGGAGTGTTCCAACAAGAAGAGAAGACAGTGATTTCGCAGCTGTTGGAAAGACCATCTATTGAATTAGAAAAGGATATGCCTTCGTCATTCGAAGAATTCCCCAAAATCGTAAGCTCTGTCTGTTTAAATATCAACAACGTTAACAATTTACAACTGGAGACACAGGATGGTAACGGGTATTTTTACTGCCCATGGGCGACAAGGTTCTCTCTTGGCGCAAATTGTACTAAGGAAACTCGAATATACTATTGTCCATTATGAGGATGGCAGCTTACATATTTTTGGCTATTCTGTGTCGCAGTGCCTAAATTCTTCGATGGCTGGCTACAAGGTTATATTCTCTAACAGTGTCGTGCATCTATGTGTAGGGGTATCGTTTGTACCGTAACATCGAATCGTCCACATCAGGACCGTTATTAGTTACATGCAACCTTAATGGCGTCAACTCTAGGAGTAAAAGACCTTAACATTAAGCCTATATAGGTCAAATAGCGCCAATAGATTTCGATATCTTGGTTTTATTGCTGTACTACTGCAAAGTTTAACGTGACTTCAATTATTTAAAAGAGTGGCGTAGCTTAGGACTCATTTTATTTTTACGTATTTAAATTAAATATTATATTTTATTATTATTATTATTATTATTATCATTTTTGTATTAGCCAGCCGAACGAAATTATGCTGAACGAAACAACAGAACGGACAATAGGAACTTTATGGTGAAGACAAAGTGTTGCTGATGCTGCTGCAAACAGCAGATTGAAGATCTAAAAATTCTTCTTAGATAGGGGTTGACGCACAAAAATAGGATCAATGCAATGAGCGTATAATATGTGAGAAAAAGTAAGTTTTAGAAGTTTGTAAAGTTTTGCATATAAGAGAGATTGAAAGGAGACTATCAACCCCAGCATTAACACAACATGCCGTTGACAAGACTCCTCTGATCTCGAGCATTTAGTTATGGCATTGAATACGCCTGGTGGTCGGTCCAGACGACGTATGAAAGAAGCTTATCATATTTTACATGCAGCTGGCATCCTGAAAATAATCGCAGGATTGGAATTTCCAGGTGTCCACAAGGCATCTCTTTAAATCCCGAAATAAAGACCCATAGTCTGTCTTGTTCCTAATCAAGATGGGACATCATTACCCCCAAAACTATTTCTAGACATCTTGCTTCTTTCCTCCAGCCTGTTACTTCCCCAAAAAAGTACTAAGAATATTTTAACACATAGAAAAAAAAAAGTCAGAAAAATCATATACGAGGAGTGGTGAGTGCAATCCAGTAAAACTCGAAAGCTTTGTTATCTGATTTTCTCTAAGGTCTTTGTTTTCAGTTGCATCGTTCATACTTTATTATTCTCTTATTTTTTAGCCAACCTTTAAATACTTGAATGCACACTATATTTTCGTATATCCTTAGTGCCACTTTTGTCTGTTAGCAAACACTATTTTTATCTATGGCGATAAAAAATATATATATACGTATCTTTTTTACCTTGTATTTGCAAAATGTTTTTGAGAGAATAGACCCTGGCCAGCATCGAATGTGCAGTTTCTTTTTTTAGCAATAACTATACTTCTTACATAGAAAAACAAACTCATATTAACGAGGCTATTTCTGCTATAAAAAACTATCGGCACTATCTCGAAGTCACCTTTTACAGTTTGAAAACTCCAATTGTTGTTTAACGCTTGGAAGAATATTTTACTCTTAAAATTCAATAATGTACAATGAAAGCACGTGCAGTGAAAGCTTTTTTCATGTAGATAGATATCGACGGTAAGATATATCCCATTAAACGTTTCAAAGCATGGTAACAAGATATAATAAACCTTTAACCGTTTATATAAGCCTTCTGCCACTTCGAAAATCTGCCATTAAGAAAATTCGTTAAGACTTTAAGGTGATATAGGTAAATACCTACAATACCTGCGAACAGTTAATAACATAAGCGCTAATACTTCACATACCTGTCTAGCAAAGGAAAACCAACGCGCTTGTTTCGCCTACTGCTTGGATAAGAAAAAAAGCGTCCAATTGCCTCCACGTTAATGGAACTTCCGAAAGAACGGACCTTGGATTATTGCATGAAAACGCAATTGCGCGAGACGTTTACTCCAGTTGTTCATCCCAAGAGATACCAACTACAACGAGCACCTACAGCTATAGGCCAACGATAGAAACAACTGACCAGGTCACGCAGGTCTCTAAACTGCCCAGCAGCATAAATGACACTACAGCTATTTATAATCTGTTAAAATCCTGCAGAAAGGCTTCTCGTAGAAAAAAAAAGCCTTATGTAGAATCTGAGGTCGAGAAAGTTTATAAGCATGCAAAAATTAATTGCAAAGTTCAACTCCTAGTTCCGAAGATGGTAGGTTATTATATCAATGTGAAAGTTCGAGAATATTTTTGAGTGAAACATACAATTCCGTAAGCGAAGCATTTTTTGTCTTTCATAGTACGGTTTCTACCACCATATTCATAAAATTACTTCTTTTTCTTTAATTAAATATCTAGTAATTAAACCCGTACATATGAAAACATCTTAACATCCTCCTTAGCTACAGTCAATTGAAAATAGACTACGAGTGATAACCGGCAAAATATTTGACTACGTCAATATACGTCACCTGCAGGCCTTGCCTTGCCTTGAGCTGATTGAAGACGTTATTGATGTTAAATTACATTAGCCGCTTTGTTTTTACAAACCTCTCGCTATGTGGGGGGAATATTTTCGTAGGAATCTGTAGAACTTTCAGATCTAGACACTTACGGACCATTGCCGGTGCTGTTAAAGAGGGCAGACGCTGCAGACGTTCTGGATAAAGGAGTCTTGAGAAGATCTCTACAAAGCTTGACATCCATCGATACTTTTAGTCGACCGGAGGAAACCACAACCCAACATGCGGCAGATATGCAGCCGTCTGATGGTTCTCGGCATCAATCAGAGCGAAAAACACCCTGCAATAGCCTATTACTTCAGCAAAACTTTGCTGTTAAATCCAAGAGTGAAGGGCGTCAAAATCAAATGCGAGTAGGTCAGAGCTCTAAAATGGAAGAATTAAATAAGGTTTGTTGTTGATGTACATTTTCACACAAACGAGCATTAAACATGAACTTCAGCTTGACCGGCCGGTGCGCCTTACTCACAGCAACAGCACTGCTACCTGAAATGCTGTTACACCAACTTCCGTTCTTTGAAACACCCACTAATATTTGCCTTTGCCTCTGCCCCGAACATTCCCGTCAAGTTTCCTTCGTCGGATTAATAACCCGTTTGCATGGGTTTTGCTGAGCATCCCGCTTTCCTGCTTTAATTGATTGGATTATATTTAGACTAAAAAAGTTGCACTTATTTGAACGAAAGATTTTCGTCCTCGTGTTTCGGCATACTACAAACAATCCTTTTCATACATGCTTATTTGGCAAAGAAAACAATCTCAGTGTTTAAACAACGTACTGTTCAATGTGCAAATTTTCGGTGGGCACTTAACAAAATAGCTGTTTTATCTAAATGTCTTTTTAAAAGCAAGAGAACATGGATAGGAGCTATATAGGAGCCTCGAAAGACAGTTGTATCGTCAACGAATCTCAAGAGATCCAAACCTCTAGAAGCACCTATTGCAAGTTAATATCCCAACAGAAGAAGCACGAACTTGAAGAAACTCAATTGTCGAGACGACAATACAAACGAATCCATTTCGCGGAGGCTACTAAGGTATAGTTCATTGCGCACAAATCAACTGACGAAGATGATACAGATTATTACCGCTAAGTCACTGCTAGCCTTGGAGGACTCGTTTCCTTATCCGTTATCTACATGCAAAATTGTAGCTAGCCAATCACAAAAAAAATTTGCCGGCGCTTGAAATGTTTATCGCCTGTGACCTAATTAGAAGAGATTTTAACATTAATCAGTCGGTCAAGCTATTTGAGTATAGAAATAACAATACTATCTATTCGATACAGCTCTTTTAAAGAAACCAATTTTATTATAGGTAAAAAATGATAACATTTTTTAATCTGAAAAAAAGGACCGTTAGGCACACTTTAGAAAGGATATTTTACAGCCTTAGAACTTTTCATTAAGCTTATTTGGTTGCAGTACTTATTGTTAACGTACATATTCGCCATGACATGATTTTCAGGTGGGTATTTCTGGCACACCGAACCTCAAGTGGAGGGGTGCGGGGAGAAAATTTAGCTGACAAATTAGACCGTATAAACATGCTTAGATGAATCTTAACTCAATTTGTTGTCAATGGTCTTCAGAATAAATGGCTGGTGTTGAATGGTATTCAATGTATTGCTGTAAAGCTAGCGATTCATTTGAACATGTGGCGCCGGGTGATCACAGAAAGGCGCGACTAGTTAGGTGTATTAGGCAAACATCGCTTGGTTATTTCGCAAATAGGGCGTGCCTTAGGAATGTGACAAACACCTACTTAAAAAGTAAGCACGAAATAGAAGCCACTTTTCCTCTGTACGAAAAGTAAGGAGCTACTTTGTGTTACGCTATCGAAAGGCTGGGGCTATCGATAGAGGTTGTTGTCTGGTAACCAGATTTGTCCGGCGACACAGCATTATTGGTTGCATCTCGCTGCGCCGCCATTCTACGATTAGTCGACGTCTCAATCAGCGTTTTTTACGAAAAAATCTCGTCAGTGAACGTTCCATGGAATACGCCTAATGAAGACTTTATCTGCTGCCATAGGAACTGTTGGCAATGTGCGATGCAGTTCGACATTCGCTTGTTCCATTGTTGAAAAGTTTACGTCTGATGTTCATAAACGATTGCTCTATTGAAAAAAAAACTATAAATGGATCGCCTTGATCAGGCAGCAGAGTTCTTACTACCCGACAGGTGTTCTGATTGATCTATCTATCCTATATTAAACCCTTATCACTGAAATAACTCGTTGTGAACGAATGCTTGCGGCGTGTATCGCTTTGTGTAGGGTCCACTCTCCGAGAAGGTAGGATAAACACACGTTTTTGGTCCCTTGCCCCCCTACTATGCTTAAAAATACGTAGTGTGACCTGCGGGGTTGGCTCCGGGAGCACACGCGTTTGTTTCGTGCTAGGAAAGACTAGCCTCCTGAAGCTGGGCCCAATTAAGATAGTAGCATCAAATGTAAACTCGAAACATTGGTGGAGCACTTTTTCTATTCAATATGGGTTAGCTTAATCTCGCTACCCAGCGGGACGACGTCTTGCGGCAAGGCTTGGAGCAACAATAACCGATACTCTGATATAATTCGTATCTTTCGTATAAGAATCTTTCTCATACATATAACGTTTTCGACTTTAATAATCATTCAACATAACAATGGCTGCGCATGGAGTGTCCTCGGACATACTTTGTTTGTTCGAATGTTGTCGCTATATTAATAGATTGCTCCAGTTATTATTATGTGCATGTGCACAGTGCTTATAAATATTTTTTAATTGAGGGAAGTACTAAAGTAACTCAATTTTTATCATAGTTATTAATATCGCGACATTACGAACCACGATATTTTCAAAAAGGTATTAGATCTTAGAGGTGTAAGTTCTAGCTCGTACAAAAGAAACCATCTGATGCTTAATAAACGGACGTTGATACATTTCGTAGGTGTTTTCAACGAACGGATTGATTCTCTGAGAAAGGCAGGTTAAACTGTTTCTACGGTCATTTCAGAGTTCCCAGTCGTTAGGAACAAAGCTGTGCCCCACTGATGCACTAAATGCTAAGCACAAGTTAATCACACAATCGTCGACGACTTGCTACCCTTGCAAACACGATGATGACTCATCCTCAGACCGACCGCTTACAGTTAGAGCTGCAGCTCAGTCAACGCTCGAACAAGATTTAGAAGATGCCTTTAACAGCTATGAAAATATGACCGATGTTATAAAAAAAGAGGCATCATTCGAGAAAAACTCTAACAGCCTATTCGATTTTATGAAAAGTGAAGGTACCCATAAAGATTACGACGTCAGTACTCAGGGCCTCTCGGATTTATGCAGGTAAGTGATTTTAGATTAGTCACTCAGATGGATTTGAACGAGGAGAGAAAAAGGTAAGTTTCGCAAGCGTCAGGGTATAGTTTTGTTTAATAGGATCTTAACTTTAGAAGGCTGTATATGCTAACCATTGTTTTTGTTGCTGCAAGAACTGCTAACACTAAAGCTCTGCTAATGGTTTATCACCCCTTTCATGATGATACAAAATATAGTCGATCTCTAAATCTAAATTCAGGCTATATATGACTGAATAAGTACGATTCTTGTGTCAGTTTCTGCCGGCCTATTAAACAATAGGCGATGTCAGATTACTCTAAGGCTATAATTTATCTAATACGGGAATTACTTTGTTACGAATCAATAGATCCAAGCGGAAAAGACACTGTTCAAAATCTCGAAAAAAAAAAAAAACCTGATTACATAAATATTACTGTGTTTGATGCTTAGTTATAAAGAGCTCAAAATAGTACTTTGAATCGTATACTTTCATTTGTGTAAAAATTAATATATAGTACATGCATCTTTGGCAAGGATTTTCGTTTTCTTTTCTCAAATGCTGTCCTTCCGGGTTGTGTAGCATTATCGTCCTTGTTAAGCGTGACCGAAAGTACTGCAATGTTGTATATAGTCTGTAATAATTTTAGTTCTCCACAATGAGTCTCGATTTTTGCGGGAAAGCAATACTTGGAAGAGGAGGCTATAGACAGAGGTAGCCAATCAAAAGCCACACTTAGTTATTCTTCTTACTAGACAATTACGTCACAGTAACATTGCCCATTTTGGTTTATAGATGAAATTTACCTTTATATTAATTCACATTCGCATCGTAGCGAAATGCATCCTACTCGTCGAGTTGGGTAACGTAAAGAGATCTATCAAGCCAACAACAAGATGGAAACAGAAACTAACGATGACTAGTGGTGATTTAGAAATTGTCAGCGGACAATGCTGCTGCTACTTGTCTCCAAATAAAACTTACGCCTCAACCAACTTTCTTATTCGCGCAGATTACGTACTGTGGTTTTCCTGGAAGTGTTGCAATATGATGATGCAAATTTCCTTCTAGTTTAGTAAAGTACAACGTAATTACTTTTTAACCTCTGCTGGACAATGGGGCTGTTATATGGTATGACAAGCGTGCCGACCATGGGGCATGCTTACTGTATCTGCGTCTTGTGATTGACAACTTCTTACACCGAGCACTAGGTATTGTGTCAATCTCTCAATTTGTTATCATCGTCCAATTATCAGTTCTCAGAAGACGCTAACCGAGGTGAAACAGGAAAGTATTTGGGGAAAAGTTCCCGAAAGTCCAACTTGTAATCATGAGCGACTGCTTCGTAAGGACGATTGTCTCGTCGGTTCGTCTGCGTAAGTATAGCGTATAGTAAAAACGTTTGTTTGTATATCGGTGTTTTTAGTGTAGTTGTTGTGTGTCTAATGTATCCCTCAGGTAGTACAAAATAGTATGTGCCTGATGGCACTTCTCTGTATCTGTAAGGATTCACGAAGTATATGTGAGCATATACTTTTTTACATTGCTACAGCCTTTCAGTTTCATGCTGCACGGTTATTCAAGCACAATAATAATACTGCTAGGTGGACGACGTCTGCGTGTACATCCTGAGTCGATGGCTTGCAGATATCCATACGTAAAAAATATGCTTTAATAAAAAAAAAAAAAACGTAAATACCATCTTTATCACAATACTGATTGTTCGTACCTGTGTAAATCGACATTAGTAATCTGTTAATCGTTACCGTGACTCACCTGTAACAATGCTTCTATTCAACCAAGTATAGTTCACATCTCATCGTTACGTTATGCGACTCTAATTAAAGTTTTCAGTCATTACTTGTCTCCACCAAAACATGCACAGTCCACTTGGTTCTAGCTCGCAACTCCTTATTTTTCAGGCATACAACACATGTTACGCTTAGGACCAAGCAAGCCTACTTGTAAACGACGCAGATTTGGAGAATAAGAATAGATGTTTGTAGTTGTTATATGAAAGAAACGCAGCGGATGGTCGAGTAAAATTAACAGCTTCATTACCAAATAAAGGATACTGAATAACCTAATAGCTACGATTTTGCATTTGCCAGGCCGTCTACGACAGGGAACAAATGGGACGTCATCAAAGAAGAGCCATTTGACTCAGCTGAATGGGAGCATTTGATGTAAGTTCTATTCTCTTCACCCAGTAACTATAAAAAAATAAATTGAAAACAACGTTACCGGAAACTACGTATTGTTCTGTTGGGAAGGCTGAATAGATTTTGTTCCGGAAAACGGAAAAACGCGAGCAATGAAGAATGAAGCTGTGCTAAATTTTTAGATTTTCTCATCGAAGTTACAAAAATGAATAGATGGCTTTACACATGTTTGTACTTTGCTTGTTTAGAACCCCACAGAAGATCTTATGTAAAAAAATCCGAGTGAAAGAAGAAATTCCCCCAGTTTGAGGCCAGAATTCAATGACGAAATCTCAATTAAGAGCGGAAAACGAAGTATAGTCCTTCTTAAGTAGAAACGTAATATACATATAGAAGTTATACAGAAAAAAACACCAATTCATAATGGAACGCATATAGTATAATAATATCTTAATGAAAATAATTAAGAAGAGAAAATATTTACTTCTAATAATCATATTATCCCGTTGTTGACTCGGGCATTTATTGCCGGCTAAAATTATAATAAAATTCATTTAGGTCAATAGCCCCGCTGTTACTATGCAGGATTGAACAATTAGTTCGCGTATGCGTGTATCGCATGCTTGCCGACGACTTGACTTAATAAATACGATGCTAAAAGCGCCAAGGGTGCTATTTCTTACTGCACCCTCAATATGACTTAAGTAATGGGCTATGTACATTAATTACTTAGGACAAGAACCTGCAAAGCAAAAGCGGTCACTATAAAGAAGGAGTCACCCAGCCCGAGCGAAGTCAGCCTTTTCGAGTAAGTACCTGCGTTTAATATTCCCCATGACTGATCAACAGATTTCCAGAGCTTCCACCCGGCATCATATTTACCCCACAATTATTTTTATTATTATGCAGCGAAACGCCCACGTTCAACCCTACACTCCTATCTTTTTAACATATATTCCACTGAGAAAAATATTATTTGTTACAAGCATTTTTTTTCTCACAAAATCGGTACAACAAATAGAGATTAAGCTACTTAAACGCGTCCAATATCACCAAAGTAATTCTACCACGAGGTATTCCAAAATGCTTAGATTTGTGGGCTACAACATTTTAAAGCCAGCCGTTGAAACTTCTTCTTGTTCTTTCTAAGAGACAAGCAAGCGGTTATTATATCAGGCGTTCGTTCAACTACAGGAGAAAAGAACCAAATAGAGTATTACTGAACCTTATAAAAACGACCTTTTTGATGAACAATATATAAACGAAAACTCTCCCTTTTGGGAACAATAAAGTTCACATTGCAATCTGATTTAAACCGAACAAATCTCCGATGATCTTATCCCTTCTATCCATCCTCTAGCCTCACCTAGTTTTATTAATAATACTTAGAAGCGGAATACGTATATATATATCTCGTAAATCAATTTTTTACATTTATATACTATTGAAGTTTACAGAGTCGTAGGTATAAAGCTAACGAAAAGGATGTGAGTAATTATCCATAAATTCGATGGAGGAAGGAAGTTTATTTTCACTTTTTTTTCAGAGGGAAGCCAGCAGTTGTTATTCAGACGGAGTTTATTGAAACAAATTGTGTCCGGCATTCAGAAAGATCCACACTCAAGTGAGTCAATTCCAAGCTTGCAGGATATCCTTCCAGAATTAGTATTAGAACTTTCCATTGACGGCCACTTGCCTTGAATGTTGACATCGTTATTCAATAAAGATAGGGGTACGAATATAGCAGATTGCTTTCACGCGAAATGGGCCACATTCTTATTGCCGGTCCGGAAATTTGCCTTTTGGAATGGACTAATTTTTTATTGTTGGCTTGGTGTAAGTAAATGGGAAAGTGTAGGACAAATGGAGAGACAGAGTGCGTCTGAAGCAACAAGCAGCTGTTCTTTATTTAGCAAGAGTTCCGCGGCAAAAAACCTGCCATACCTATTTCCTAAGTTCGACCGCAAGGGAAGTATTGTTACGTCGAAACCAGAGACGTATCGAAGCAGAACTGGCGCCTTGGACGATGATGGTAAGCGCTCTTTATATCTATCTTTGCGATTTATTTATATGTTGCTCTGTCTAATTGAAACAATTCAGCTGTTTAAAATTTACAGCCACGTTCGTACTAAACAGTTCAATGAAGGTTCTTAATTTGTTAATGAAAGCTTGATAGAAACCATGTTTTAACAGTCGTTTACAGAACAAAAACAGGCAGCTTGAAACAAAAGTTCTACCCAAATAATCTGAACATAGTTAAATGCAATAAAGAAACAAAAAAAGATCCTCATGATCTACGGAAAAATCAAGAATTTCTTTAGCAAATTGTAGCAAATGATTAAGAGCAAGAACAAAGTGACCTATCATCACCGGGACATATTTGGTAGCTTGTATGTTCAGTCGCTATTTCTGGTAGTAGAGAAAATGTAGAAATTTTTCGAAAAAAAAAAACCGCCGAGTCAGCATCGCGCAAACAGAAGGCTCCTAGTCGGAATATGGAGGTCTGTTTATGTCCTGTATCTCCGCGCCTTACGAAAACTTTTTGATTTTTCTAAATTAACCACGGTGTTACCGGTCACCATGCGTTTTCTAGGGTGCCCAAAGAAAACTTACATATGCACAATCCACAACGCAAGAAGGGTCTAAAGAAATCAACACGTCGTAGAAAGACACTAAAGGCATAATTAACGCGACCGATATTTCAATTTTTTCGAATGCACATTTTGCAAAATTTCTTAAAAGTTTATGAAACACATTTTATTTGTTAATAAAATGGTCAAACAGATACCAAGGCAGAAAAAGTTTCTCCTTTCTCGAGCTATTTTAACCGAGAACCACTACGCTGTCCTCGGTCTTGTTGTTTCTTTGCGACTGATCAGAAGTCGGTCGAACAAAAAGCTGATGATTTTTTCACTATTTAAAAAAAGTTTCTATGTTAGTGCGAGCCCGCGAATTTCTCGCAAATAGTCATGTGCTGAAGAAAGCGAACTCACGACGGCGGGACCTCTCTGTTAAAGAAGCATTGTCACAAAAGGAATATAGTAGGCTATTCACTCTATAAACTGCAAATAAATACAGTAAATCATATGCGGCACCTTTTGAGCCAAACTTGTATATTGTATGTCTGCATGTTTCAATGGCACTTATTCACGTCTACTATTGAAAATTTATATGCGAATTTAATGATGGAGTATTTTAGAACTTGAAACGGTTTTAACTTGGAACTATAACAATTCGCGCAGTAAATGGCACTCACATTAAATAAACATACACTCAGAAACCGGTGCATCTATCGGTATATAAAAAAAATGCTGCCTGTTTTCATTAGGATGCAATCTTATAACAAGCGACATCAATTACGTCCTAATTCGATCGGACTGTCCTGCGTAAAAAATACAAACACCTATTTACTTGTCCCACCAAAGACAAACTGCAGTTCTTATTTGACATTACTATTTTGATGCATTCATCAAAACTATGGCGAAAAAAATATTGTCCTAATCGAAGGTCGCCGGCCGTTTTAAGGACTTACTGCACTATATACCACACGAAATTTTGATAAATACAACATCAGTACTGTTTCTTTTCAATCATCGCTTAGATTTGGTAATGCTGAGCTATTGAATAAACAGTAGAAACCGCCTTTGAAACGAGCTTAAAGATGTATTCTACTACTGTTTAGTATACCCGTATCTTAAATATCGGTCACAGTAGTTTCAAATGAGTATATTGGATCCGAGTGAGCAGCAAAATGGCATGTAGCAATCATCCAAATTTAGATAAGCTGATACCGGTTATTGCTGGGTGCCTGAATTTCAGAGTCAACTCTGACACGTTATAACGATACGGTAAGATCGAATTTTAGGCAACTCCATTCCGTTGTTCGTCACAATTCAATGTTTCGAAATTTACGATCGAACTAAGCGTGCCTATAAGTTTAATACAAACGAGCCAGTAAAGCAGCATAGCTATTTCAGGAACTTTCGTTCACATAAAAATGTGCTTCTTGAATTATTATTTTTGATTGAGAGAGAGAAAGGGAGGGTCAAGCTATTTTTCAGCTTGGTTTATTGTGATTATGTTTCGCTTTGGGATGAAATGTCATTGGCAATCTTAATTGTTAATGCGCCCATTCGCTTTATGCGGTTCACGAAATCTGTAGTTACGAAATCGCTTCTATTGAAAAAAACATTCAAAGGTAGTTATTTTACACAGCTCAATAGCGAAATACTAGTTACAAAAGTAATGACTGTGGGGTTTTTGCAATTAAGCTGTATTGATTCGGACTAACGCAGACCTTGTTATGGCCTTATTCTTTCAAAACGAATTGCGTTTTCTTCAATAAATCTTGGAGCTTTGCAAATTACTTGACGAAGTAAAGTAGTACCGAGCGTCAAGATCATTGACAAGTGTTTTATGTCCTTTTCAGACGGAAAGGGTGGGCAGGCACCTATCTTAGGTCTCGATAAGCCGGCCGTGGAGACACCCAACAAACGTATAAAGCAAGAATTCCTCGACCAGTTTGAAAATCGACCGAAATTTACGCGTCGTCCAATCCGGCGGAGACGAGTACATATCTAAACGAGCAGAGCACCAACAACCCCGTGCGAACCCCCTACCGACCAACCACTGTCAGATATAAATGATGTAACTGCGATAACGTATAAATAACGTAACATTTAGAAAATCCCAGCGGCTTTGGTGTGGCGAAAGCGCTTCTCCTAGCGGGTAAATCGATTGATAACGTTGTCTAATGCGCCTATCTACTATAAAGTGACTGGTACTGAAGGCCAAAATGAGCATTACAAGTCACTGCCGTTTTAAGCGTAACTTTTTAGAGTATCATATTAACTAACAGGTAGCACAGTTGCGTGAAGGCAAAGAAATGCAAATGTGTTACTTAAATCTAAGTTTGCTATCATGGCTCGAGGTTGCAGTCAAAACAATGATGAAAACAATATTTGAACTTTTTTTAGTGCTTCTGTTATTCTTACTATGTAAATAAGTCTTCGAAACCATTCCTTATTGTAGCATCAATGACCCCTCCAATTAGAAGCTCTTAAGCTAGAGAAACTCGTTGTTTAGCATGACGTTCCATGCATATATACATACGCATAGATCCTGTTAAATCTAATTAATGCGTGGATGATTCAGAGACATGTATACACCCAACTCTTTCATCTGTGTGCAATTTTGGCGATTCCTATTTGTGTTGTATTATTGTAAAATTGGTTTCCGTTACCCGAGGGGCAATGAGCTTATTCCGACATATTTTCATCTCTTGAAAGGATGGCAGATCGGTTCAACACCTCCATTGCACATGGGAAACTAACTAGATCAGCTACATAATCACATCTTATTATAGAATCAATGGTATCAAGCTAAACGAATATCCTAATAAATGTCCCATGACCTATTCGTCACAAACAATGTTGCGACCCAATTCTAAAGATTCTATTAAGTGATTTTGATTCACGTCATCACACGGCAAAAGCATTTTTGATACGATCGACCAACTGTATCTGTCTCGATGATCTTGTAATATTTCATCAAGTCCAGAACTGCTGCCTGAATTTGGAATGTCATCGATGAGATGTGTCGTTCCCTCGGACTTTTTTTTACTACTAAAAATCATGTCAGGTATTTGATAACGTCGCTGCGCGCTTACCAGCCAAGTGAAACTATTTCTGAAAGTAGGTCAGATCATACGTAGCGCACGTTTATCTGAGGGAAGAGCACACTTACCTACGTGTACAAGATTCTACAATATCGTACAAGAATATACGTGATAAGTTATACGACAAATATTCAATAACCGTATGGCGTTACGTCCTGGGGATCGATGGGAAGAGTCGTAATATTTGGTTGATAGCCAATAAAGCTGCTCTATAGGTTTTTTAACCGTTTTCTCTATTGCTAACACTATAATCCTATGGTTTAATGACAATAGAAGTCATGAGCCTTTAACAACAATATAACCACCGACAAATGAATACACGTATTCACACGAATGTATGATTAGAGCGAGTGGCTGCGAAGCGTTCCTTTTTGCCTGCCGAGAATAGAACTAGGTCAACCTATTTTCATTTTCATGGCAGTAATAGGCTGGCTGGCGATGTAGCCGAAATTGTAGCAAAAAACTTGCCCGAGCAACTGATTGTTTGAGAGTTCCTCTAATGGTGTTCGACCATTCGACAGGGTCAATCGATAGACTGAATAATATGAGCGCGTTATCAAGGAATAGAAATAGTCACCAAATTAAGTCGTGACATGACGCGTCAGTATCTGTAGGGTGACTGTCGTTTGGTTCTGATTTCAAGTCTACACAAACATTTTCTCCCGGAAGAAAGAAGCTCGCCGAAATAGTTTTTGCCATTCCAGGGGAAACGGGGCAACGCTTGTATGCATTAAATTGACACGGATGATCTAGAGAACAGTGTTCCTGGCAAACGTCCAAAGATAAGAACAATGCCCCAGCATAGGCTACTTTGACATACTTTAGCACAGCGACTAGAATCGATTTGTACGCTAGTTAGTTTCAAGTCCGTAAGCTTTTGTGTGGCAGAAACTAGCTGACATCTGCCCTTAGAAACGCACGAGAAGTTACTAGTGCAAGAGTTCTCAGGTAGGCGTTGAGAAGGCAAACCGGAGTAGCAGACACTGTGGTTTGTAAGCCGTGGGTGGTACAAGCGTTGCCAGAAGATAAAAGGTCACTAGGTTCATAAATTAACCTAAGTAAATGACAACTAGTTCTGCGTGATTCGCCGTTTCCAATTTATATCACCTAAATGTTAACAGAATAGTACGGCGACCGTCGTGTCCTTTTCGGGAAAAATATATATGGGCTAGAGTACGTGAGTTCGATCGTGGCCTCAATGCGTGCTAGCTTCCATTGGAGTCAGCAAAGTGCATCCCTTTTTACTGCGTCGATGAGGAATCCACAGATCCCTCGTTGGCAAGTAAGTATAAATCATTCACAGTGAACAGCCGCTATCACTACAGTCATTGCCACGACAACATCAAAAACTACGCCTGGACCTCCTACCGCGCGCATGCAATATATTAGTCGGTTTCTATATGCCGCCGGACAAGCGTACGAAGAAACAATGGGAAGCGGATATTGATCGTGATATGAGGGTATGCTTTAGTCCGTATTTGCCTATAAGGAACACAGGACATCAGCCGGTGCAAGATTTTGTTTACATCTGAGTGACTTCTACGAGAGATTTGGAACTCTAAGGCCTTGACTGGCTTCAATAAAACTAGTTATGCTCCCCTCGTTTCGGCATTATATAAAGTACCCTTCTTCCCCACTAAGCCTTCATTCTTTTCACGATACTCGTATTGTCGTTACTTATCAAGCTAGTTGACGCGACCTTATGCACTGAGGGTGGTATATTCAACGGGAGCATAATGACTACAGAAGCTGCACTATGGCCTTCAACCTTTAGTGCCAACACATCTAAAACTTACTATTATTGCGTGCATTGTCTTAAAAATCGCAACAGCCTACGAAGGCTGCGTTGTAATATGCCTTTTCTCTGGAAACACGACACGTGTTTTTTTGCTAGATGCACCATCCTGAGCAGGTTTCTCCGACATACAGCCCCGGACCACTCGGAAATAACTTAGCGAAGCATAGACGTTAGCCACTGTGATTCCCTCGATTAGTAGCCGATTTCTTGGGCTTTTGGACGTTACCCAAGAAAATGCTGGCTCGAGCTTGACTCCCATTGTACCCCGCAGTACTCGTTCGTTCGAATGCGTCTTTGTTCATGCCCGTACTTGTAAAAAATTGCTTACGCGATTGTTTTCTTCAGAGGAATGAGCAGGTAGACTGCTCTTACATCTGATCCGCCGACTATCTGCGATTCCCGCCTAGCAATCAAACTGTTCAATCAGCCTTTTCGGTCGGGCCTGGTTGAACACCGGTTTTGGCGATACCGTCATATCGACAGCCCAACTTACTTAAAACACCAGGCATCCTACCTCTGTCACTAAAATGATGCGGACCGGATTAGCTGGCAGAAACTAGCAGTTTACGGCTACTTACTTTGCGCAGATCCAGCCTTAGCAATGTACTTGTTCCATTGTACCGGCTTTATTACACTAAAATTTGAATTGTTCGCATGCAATAAAGGTTGTACAATAAGTGGCGTACATTATCCAAACATTTGTTTTCTTAAATCCCTAAAAAAAAAAAAGCGAATATAGCTCAAAAGTAAATATTCATTTTCTGAAAGACTTACGCGATTCTTTGACCAGTACGCAAATTGTTGCATCATTTTTGGGTGAGTGCTCTATGATACCCGATTCTCTTTGGATAATTGAATTAGTATGAACATAATACTTCATAGAACTTCGTCCCTGCATCCCGCAGTTTCCGATATCATTGCCTGTAAAAATAAGCGTTATTAATTTATTCCATATATTCGAGATACACTGAATTTGTTCCCTGTGAGAGCAGAAATATACAATATTACCTCTTGTTTCTATTTAATCACACCTGTCAACCACTGAATGTCATTTTTGGTGTGTATTCTACCGTGTAAACCGTGTACATAGAGAAGGCAAGAGCCCACATTAGTAACGATCCTGGGTATGGCCTGTTTACTGTTGCGGATTCCTGCCAGACCACTCTAAGTAGAAGCTTAACTACGCAGTGGGGCGCTGTAGAAATGGCTTCGTCAGACGAATAAAGAAAACGAAATGCCAATGGATATTTCGATGGTAGAGTGATCGTCGGCAGTTAACAAATCTATGTGTAAAAATTACAATCGAGGCAATTACCAAGGCCACAACTAATGACCCTTAAGTAAGTTTCATACTGCGTTATCTAACCTGAGTATTGCCTTTAACAACTACAAAAAGTGTATTTAATGTCTGCTTGTCTACTAAAACTATCAAAGTTGATCATATCCGAAACTTATTACAAGAATATTACTAGTTACATAAAAAGTAAGGCGAGGAGTGAAAGCAACCGTAGGAAGGTGAAACCCGCACAACCATTAAAGAAGCGTCACAGTGCGAAATAAAAAAAAAAACGTAGAAAGTTGCATGAAATCTTGCAAGTCCGTATTAGGCCTTACAGATATTGGTTTGTAAAAGTACTTTTTACCAAGTATCTGTAGTGTCGTCTTCGACTGTACCTTGATGTGTGCTGTGCAATATGACTAATAAATAAATCTCGGCTGGCGCCAAAATTCATGGAGAAGGATCAATGGATGGATGAGCTCTATTTGCATTAGTTAATTTAGTAGCGAATAATCATCATTGAGCAGCAATAAATTGATTTTTCTGTCGATTGGCTTGCTAATTTTGATTAAGAACTTCGTGCCTTACATATTGCGAATCAGTCTAATAACGAATAACAGAAATCAATACCACAGGAACCGAATCAACAGGCTGATCGATATTTCTTAAACACATTAGCAATTGCAATGACTGGGTCTATAACTTTTTGAACGAATTTTTAAATTTTTAATTTTAATTTGAACTAATAAACGTGACTAGGCCTCGGATAATAGACAATCGCGGTCGTCATAACTGTAAATTACTTCCAAAAAAAAAGACGCGCGCAATCCAATTGGATTATAGAGTTCTGGACGCGTAAGAATAATTTTATTTGAAGTTGAAGAGAATAAAAGCAAACATAAAAGATGTTATATATACATACATATGTTATATATATGTATATATATATATATACTTGTATAACATATACCATCGACAAGTCGTTAACTTTAAAAATAGACTCTCATGACCGAAATTTGTTCTATAAAACATCTGTCCCGAAAATATATGCATTTCGACCTTCTATAGGCAAATGCGTAAGGGGTAATGCAAACGAAAAATTTCAAGCAATAACATAGCAACGCACACACAATGTCATCAAAACGACAAATATCGCCAGCAAGGAGACTGTTCAGACTTCTTAAAAATAATCCCGCACGAATGAAGACAGCCTCTCCAACTACTAGATTACTATTTAATTTTGCTAGCTAGGTTCTGCAGGCAATATGAATTGCTTCGGCTGTAATTCTTAACCCGCTTATTAAGTAAGGCAAGTTCACCTTGATAGGCTTACACAAATTTAGCTTACAAATCATTAGCTTCCAGCTGCCATCCGGCCTGCAATTCACCTGCACACAGAATGGCTCCGTTCAGACCGTAAGCTTTGAAACCGCATGATAAAGGGAACGCGCATCAATCCTTCGTTTCTATACAAAGGAAACATCGTAAACGGAAGCGGAACATTGGCGTCGCAAGGGAAAAGAGCAAACGCGGGCAATTTAAAAATTAGAGATCCGGAGCCTCAAACTAGTGCCATGGTGCCCTTAGCCCTCTCATAGCGATCCGTTTGCCGCCGACCATTCTAGCTGAATCACTAACCCAAAGGGCACTCCTATTTATACACAGCATCAATTCTTACAGTGATGATGTATGTAAGTTTATGCGTTACCGTCGAAGTTGCTAAAATTGAGTTAGATCTCATTTTATTCCACACCCACTTTTTCTGTGCTAATGATATAATGTCCCCTTTGATAGTCATCCATGAATATACCAGGCCGTCAAAATCTTAAACTCTAGCCAAGTTTTATACAAAAGTCGTACTACTAGCGTTATAGTTAGCATGCCAATCTCGGTTTACCCCCTTCGCCATCTCTAAGCGTTGGCGCCATGAAACAGGGGAAGAGAAGCGGACAAGAAACGGTGCACGAAACGGAGGAATCGTGCGGTAGTTTCAAGCGGCCTTCGTCCTTCGCGCAGTCGCCTTGGCCACCAGACGGCGCCACGGGTGTGCTCTGACAGGCCAAGGGTGAATTAAGCGAACATGGAACGCGCAGGGACTGGGGAACACGATTTCAGGGGGGTCGGCGCCATCTTGAATTCTGGGCCCTCTATAGACGAAAGAGGCTACGGAGTCTACGTGAGGAGGATTCGGTGCATGAAGTGTTGTTCACTATAAACGGATACCCACGGTCTGAGTCGTTTTTTTGACGAAAGATTAAGAGTGCGAATAGCGAATATAGAGCGAATGTAGTGGAACGTCAAAACTGACAGCATGAAGCGATAAAGGAGCAGTGACCATTTAGGTAGGTATTTTTAGATGCGTCAAGAAGCTGAAGAGGACGGTGGAACACTGGTCTATACATGAGTGTTCTATTCTGAACGGGACGTGCAACATACCTATTTTCCCTGCTTCGTTAAGAAGCTACTACTTACACATGGCCTCCTAAGTTGCCGAACGCCGTCTCCCAACCTGCGTATACAGCTATATTAGATAAACTCAATTAGCTTACGACTTACGGTAATGGAAGCTAAAGGAAACTCGTGTATGAAGACTGAAATTCCTGACATAACTAAGCAAATCATCCTCAATATGAATCTAAAATTTAAAAGAGAATTATATATCATTACATTTATATTTAGCATCCTACCGCCAATTCGGAAATGTCCTAGAAAAACGCGTCATTACGATCATGCGAAACATTTTATAGATCAGGCTGGCGCGCTATGACGTCATTCGCGGGAGCTTTTTTGTAAAGAAAAAAGAAACCGTACTCTTCTGGAACACTTAAAATAGTGCGGGGATTGTGTGATCTAAACTAAAGAAACCTCAATCGAATATACATAGACAATGGATATTGTATGCGGCGATATTTTTGCCACAACCTGTATGTATTAAAAATCCATCTGTGCACTATGAACATCTTATGGAGGTGTGTCCAGTCTATGGCAAAGCGCCTTGTATGGACAAATTGAAGGTGTCATGATACGTTAAACTGGAGTTCATCAACATTTGGAAAGTTTCTTGTTCTGTGATTGCTCGTGTGCGTAACAGAGATAAAATAGGCGTAGGTTACAAACTCCCTTTGTTTCGGTTTCAGGTGTAGATGTCCTAGAGGCGACTTCCAAGGTACTGTAGTAGGCATTAGTAAAGAGATGTCGAAAGTCGCGAAGTCAGGTCTGAAATTTGTAAAAAAGCGAGTCGCAGGCCATAAGCGCTCTGCAGAGGTGAGTAATTGAGCCTTCAGATTGAACTGATGGCTTTTAAGCGAAAAAAAAATTATATGCCGAGTAATTTCATTTTTAACAATGGCATAACAACAGTCTGTATTTAGCTTATGATATCTATGTGTAATTCGATTCGAGCGAGAAAGACAAATTCAGATTCAAATGTATGTTGCTCGAAACTTTTTTTAAAACCAACAGATAGTAAATTATACATTAAATTACTACCACGTGGTTTTTTATGCATCGCTTTTTTTTGTTCGGCGTCAATGTAAATGAACAGTTTATAAAAAAATAGTTCAGTCACCTGACACAAATTCTTAAAAATTTTAATCGAATTGTTAGAACCCACTAAAATATAAGAACTTACACAGACGCTATTCATTATGATATATTTATTGACGCTGCACTTCCAAGATCCATAATGGACTAAACGTAATTTCTAGACGACCATACGGAAGTTATTATGTAACGTTTCATGAACAAAACTAGCTAAAGGATCATTTAATAGGGGTAGGACAAGGACGATTTGGTTGGACCAATTAGTACGATGCCACAATATTACCTTATAGGTCAGCTTCCAAGATCCAAAATTTTACTCTAGAATATCTAGAATTCTTGTTCTACACTTGTTCCTATAT